TACGTCATAGCGTACTCGGTGCTTGCTTGGAAGTTTAGGGGGTTATTTTCGCTGTAAAAAGTTTTCTTCCCACGCACAATGGACACTAATGTTTTTGTCACTTTTTATAGAATCAAACTCAAAGTAAGGTCAGTACTTCCACGCTTTAAACGCTGCACGCTCATACTCTCTCCCACAATCGATATGTGATCCATTGTTGATCCGCACACAGCTGTTGTCACCAACGGCGCACTCGCTTACGTCACTATCATGAGACATTCTCGCAAAAAAAATCACGGTTTTAGTAACGCAGTAACGCAGCGTTCCTACGGGAAAGTAACGGTAATCTAATTACCGATTTTGCAATAGTAATCCCTGACTTTACTCGTTACTTGAAAAAAGTAATCAGATTACGCGTTACTGCCCATCTCTGTCTACAACACTTACGTTGAGTTAATTTTTCTCTGAGTGCTTCCCAGCCATCCGACTCTCAGATCAGGTAAATATTTTCCATAGACGGTTACACTATAATTATTTAAATACTATAAGCTGTTGAAATCCAGGCTGAAAATAGTCTGAATATATTCTGATGACTTTTCTTGTTTAGACACGACAACAAACAAGAGAACACTGAAGACTTAGTCTGGCTACGTCCACACATACATGGGTAGTTCAAGGTTCTTTATTTGTCACATGCATAGTTATGTTAGGTGAATAGTTAGGTGAATTCTGTACCTGCTTGCTGTACAGAATAGGGTAGTTTTGAAAACGCAGATTTTTCTATGTGTGTGGGCCTTTCGTCCACAGGTAAACAGTGTTTTCAATCATTGAAAACTGAAATGTTTAAAACTCCTGGCATGGTGGAGATTTTCACAAACTCAGTTTTTGTGTTTACATGTGGATAAGGAAAACAGAGATTTAGTCATGCAACATCAAAGGTGTGCACCTTTTTTGATGTGACACTGTGCGCCATGTTGTTCTTTACATGAGTTTAATTTCTGCAATGGCGGATGTACACAAAATACTGTTCCTGTAATTTGACTATCTGCAGTTTTTACTCGCTGACATATACACACAGAATTACTGTCCCTCCATTTAGAAAGACAGAGGCATCAGAGTGAACTTCTCCATTCGACACATTTAGGTATCACAACCTAAATCCCAACACTGCGCCGGTAATGAATAAATTTCAATTCTTTTTAATTAAAATGTATGCATCTGTATGCGTTTATTTAATTCCAAAGTTGTGAGTCTACACCAGCCAAAAAACTGTTTTTGGTTATTAACATCTGAAATGATGTAGGCACTTGGAAAGTAACACAAAATTAGCTGCCTTTCCAGAAAAACTCAAATACTTTTCAGACATACAAAACCCTGTTTACTCTTTCCCTCCAAGGCTTCTAGACTTGGCCAACATTTCTACACGGCTAGAATTTAGCATGTTCTTGACAACGTTTGACTGCCTTTTTGGAGAGATATTTTTTTAAAACTGCACGTGTGGATGGGATTTTTTTTCTAAATACACTTACAGGATAACGAGGGAATAGGAAACAAGTGGGAACACAGCTGGGGCTAATAAGACATGACGAGACAGAGAGGAAGCAAAAGTGGATACAGTGACAATGTACAGGGCAAAACAGGAACACTCAGACAGAAACTCAAACTCAAGACACGCATGCTTGAACATGGTGACTGGGGAAACAAGAATAAATACTGAGACAAGACTGACTAACCACAGGAGGAGATTAGACTCTGAGGGAGTGAGAACTAGGATCACTAAGAGCTAAAAATTAAACCATCTAATAAGAACACAAAAGTACAGGCAAACAAACATAAGCACTTAGAGAGTCTAACCTAACTTAGAATACAAATTTAAACTAATTAACACAGTCCAAAACCTAAACCCTGGATCACTGACCCAGGGCCATGAGAGATTCATATTTTTATGAAAAATACTGTCACCTCTATTTTGTCCTTGTCACGATATAGTCAAAATAATTACATTTAAAACTTCAGTGCAAAATTTGGCAGGATTCCAGCTTTATCGCTTAAGAAAATGAACTCTAGATCAATGACAACTGGGGGATGATTCCCGACAATGTCATACTGAAGGTAGGAAAAAAAAAATTAGGCAGGGTGTAAAATTCCAAGAACCCCCACCCCATTATTTTCAACATTAATGTCCAAAATTTATAAGGAAAAATTGCAAATTTTTCAGAAATAACTTGGAAAATATCAGGTTTTGGTCAAGGAAACTCATCGCTTTGCTCAATCACCACATTATCATATTTCTGTGAACTGTTTCTATTCAGAAGAAAACACGTTTTTTAATACACCGATATGCATTTAAATTTCTCACTCAACTGGATTATATTACAGGCTGTGTTATCCTGAACCTGGAAACTTTTGCTTAATAGGCAAATATGCATATTACTATAAAGCTGCTAAAGAAGCAAGTACATAAATAAACACAGAAAGAGATCTGGGCCACAATAAATAAAAATTGTGGTTCAGCTGTGTTGCGCCTAATACTTTCAAAAATAATATGGCACAGCAGGCAAAGCACTGATCAATGCAACAGTTAGCTTCTGCTGCTGTGATATGAGCTAGCTGTCTCTCTTCTTTGAATCCTAGGTCTTAACCAAAGTAGCCAAACAGAATCATGGTCAAACTCAATAAAGAAAATTTATTTTCATTCATGCTCTACAAAAAAAACAAAAAAAAAAAAAACTGATTTGCAGAGGTATTCCGAACACATTTTAGAGCAGGGGTGTCCAACTCCAGTCCTCGAGAGCTACTGTCCTGAAGCTTTTAGACACATCCTTGTTTCAGCATCCCTGAATCAAATGAATGACTTGTTATGAGGCCTTTGCCAAATCTGATGGCATGCTGAAGAGGTAATCCAACCATTTGATTCAGCTGTGTTGGAGTACGGATGCATATAAAAGCTGCAGGATAGTAGCTCTCGAGTACTGGAGTTGGACACCCCTGTTTTAGAGCATCATCTTGGCCAAGCTCCCAATAAAATGCTTATTTCCAATGCTTCTATGACTACCATGAGCTTGTGACCATAAATGAGAGCAGAAGTGTAGATCAACAGGTACATCAGTATCTTCACTTTTACAATCAGCTCTATCTTCACCACAATAGACCAGTCCACTAATCCAGTCAATTTCCCACTCCACTCTCCCCTCACTTGTGAATGAGACCTCATGATCCTCAAACAGCTCTCTTTGGGGCATCGACTCATC